CATTACGCATTCTAGTGTCTTAATTAAAAATTGTCTTCAGTTTTTAGATGTCATCCTTTCGCGGGCTTTCGCAATCTTCGCAGGTTTCATAATTTTCTCGCTGACCAAAATTACCGTGTACTCTTACCCTCTACGGACTCCTTCGATATAGCGTCACCCGTTTTTCTTGGTCACTGTCTCAACTTAGCGGCCATTTTGAAAGGACCGCACGTTTTGCTAGCCGAAAAATTGAGGCCATCTCAGGTCGATTCCCGATTTAGTCAGTGTAAAACGCAGACTGCAGACTTCAGACCAGGGGTAAAATGCAGACTGAAGACTGTAGACCAAGGGTAAAACGCAGACTCGGTTCTTTAGTTTTAATAATCCTGTGCACTATATTTCGCGTTGATGAAGGAGTCCGATACATTTCGCCAATTTTTTGCGAGACTGCTCGACCTGACGATTGCATGAAAGGTCCTGATAAAATGCCTGACCAAGAAGTTTGAAATCAGAGACATGTTCAATATTACTTCCATTTGAGTTAACGACTATTGAGGTAGAGGACACGAAGTTCTCTGACATACATTTTCCTCTTACTATCATGGACTTGGTTTTCTGACAATTTATTAATGTTAACCAGAATTTGTTAACGTCACCTAAACGTTTAAGATCTTGGACTGAGAACCTGTATCTAATAGGAAACATTTTCCCAACTAGAAGTTTTCGATAAAGTTGTGTCACCAACATAAACATCTGGTGTCGTTGACAAATAAAAGGGTCTAAAAGGAACTTCTGGGTTTCATGATAGGTGCGCATGGCTGTGTATGGATATTTAAGACTGTGTGGGGCTCCATACCCCTACATTTCCTTATAGGGGTATGAAGGAATGTGTGGGGTTGGAAGAACTTACATGGCGCCCACATAACTCCTATCAGACCACGTCAAACAACTCTGTGATTTTTACACTCTATACTGACTCATTTATAGAAGCACTCCGCTGACTTGAGACACTGCTGTTACCACTTTCCTAATTACTTTTTACTTTTCCATTTCATTGGGAGCACGTCGGACGTATCATGCGTCTTGAGAAGTGCTATTTCTGTTCGTCAACAATTTATCCAGGACATGGAACAGTGTTTGTAAGGAACGACTGTAAAGTAAGCTCTCTTTTTTTAACTTTCTTCTCGACTAATTTGATCGGTGGTCACGCCGGAGGCGATCGATAATTCGCTGCGATACATCGCATGATACAACTCGGCCAGAAATGACCTATTGTGTAACAATACATAGCGTGGAAAGTTCTCTCGAAAAGCGTTTCTGTTGTAACATGATTTGCAGTTTGTATGTGCGCAATGATCAAAGCGATAAAAGGAGTCCCGGGGACTTGTTTTGAGCAGGGTTTGGTGGCAGCCCTCACGGACTATTTTTTCAAATTCTATTACACTCCGTCCTTAAAATTTAAGTAATCCATCATTTGTGTTGTGTTGTCATTCTAGCTGTTTAGATTTTGTCGCTCAAAATGTCACAAGAACTTTAAGATGAAGAGAAATCCTCGTAAAATCAAATGGACAAAAGCTTTCAGGAAGGCAGCTGGCAAAGAACTAGCCATGGTAAGAAAAAAATTCTAGGCAGCTTTTGACATGTAGTAACTTTATGATACAGATGGCAACACCATGGGAAATATAAAGCGATAAAGTGAATCCTGTGTTCTGATTGGCTCCAGGATTATTCAAGAGTTTTGTTATGCAAAATCTATTTCTTACATAGTAAAGCCCTTATTGACCCAGCTTGTGCAATCATGATGGCTGGATATCAGCTTTGTTCTTTTTTTGCATTTTTTTTACCTTAACGTTGCCTCAATCCATAAAGGAGGGGAAAAAACTCTGCCAATATTCAGCCACCTTGACCTCATGTTTGGTCACTAACCCATCTGTATTGACCTACAAGGTATCAAAATTCTTTGATTTTTCACTTTTCAAACTTGCAATGTTCCTGTGAGTTTAAAGAAACTGCAGTGCCACTTTTGGTCTGTGAGGTAATTTAGGAAAAAACTGACTGACATATTTTTGCTCAAATCTTGTGCAAATCTTGCCTGTTTTTTCTTCAAGCAACATAAATCTGTTACACAAACAAAACTCTTGGGCTTATTCAAGTGAACCTAAGGGTGTGTTTGTTTCACTCAAGGATACAGCAGACCTGTTAGAACCAATTTTCTTTAATTTTGTTTCCATAATCAAACCAAGTACTACACTTTCAAGACAAAATGAGAGCACTTTTTTTAAATTTTTATTCTATTGAAATCAGTTTGAACATAAAATAAGCTAACTAAATATGCAAAAAAAATTCAGGTCATGGGCACTTTAAGGGTGAAGAGTCAGTCAGAATATGTCAGCCATCATTGCAAACAGGCCCTCATTATTGGTGCTTCAGCTTGAGTGTTTCTTTGCCCATAGGAAGTTATGAGGCCATTTATTGATGTAAAATTCATTTGACATGTCTAATAGTGATGGAAGCTGCTGATTAGTATTGTTGACAAAGTGCAAAGGAGTACAGTCTGTTGGTCTGCCCACAGGCTCTCATTTAAAGCAGTGCAAAATACTAAGTGATTTTCCTGTCTTTTACTTGATACTGAATTTTACTTGTTAGCTGCAAAGTGCTATAAACACATTACTTTAATGCCACACTTCAGAAACTTTCTTTATGGTCACTCCTGTTGCAAAACGTTGGAAGATGAAGCATTTTATATCCTATCCAGTAGAAATTACTGCAAAAGCATCCCTTCCATCTAAAAAACAATTTACTCCTTTTTCATTCTTTGGCTTTCGAAAGACTAGGTCTTAAGTATTCATTAATAACTTTCAAAAATACTTGGATTACATATCCAGTGTTCAGTAAATTGAAACCATGTTTGTGTTTGATCATCAGTACAAAAAACTGGTTTGTGTCAAACTGATAGGACCTGTCATTTTTTACCAGTTTGAATGCAGTGTTGACAGGGAAACTCAGGGGATGAAAAAGATAGTAGCATCCTTGCAGGTGCTCATAATTAGTGCCAGACCCCAGGCAAACCCCCTAAAGCTATTAAATACGTGTGGGGAATCTCTATTTTGTAGCTGATCTCCTGTTTGTTGAGCAAATTGATTGATCTTTCTTGTCATACAAAGGGTGTGCAGAAGCATTCCAAACAAATAACAACTTTGCTGTCAGGAACTTATTCATAGACATTTATTTTGATCAAATTAAAAAGCGACAAACTCATGAAGGACAGTCTTTGTGGCCATCTGAGTTGTTCCTCAGATGGTGAAAGAGAGACTTACAACCATGTGTAAGTTAGAAAATTAAGACAAGATATCATGAAAAACAACACCAAATTGGAAAATGCTTTCAGTGGAGCCAGGGTAATATCCCCATCATGTATAGTGTAAATGTTATAAATCATAGATAAATCATATGATAAATCATAGCTAGTTCATAGATATTAATATTTAAGTGTGATAAAGCTTCTTTTCATTCAAACCATCCACTGACAAATATTAGAGGTGCAGGTACATTTGTTAGGGTGATCCTTCAAAGTACTAATTACTACAGTTTAACTATCATTTACAGACATTTGTTTATTATCTCAAGGGAAGAACAAACATTTTTGTGTCAAACAAGATAAAGTTCCTCTAAATCTGAATGTAAAAAAACAAGAATTGCCTTCTTAAAATAAGGTAAAATTGTTTTTAAAGAGTTATCCTCTCTGCATGAAAACTAGGCTAGACAGTGGGTGTTCAATTTGTTTTGCCACAAAATAGTTTTTGAGAATCAAGGAATTGTATGAGAAATCATCTGAGGTTTATCCTTATTGTTTTTGATAGGTTTTGAGAAAAGATGACTTACCATATCTACAATTGTAGAGTTCACTTTTTTTAAGACTGTAAAAGGAGAAATTTTTTAAGTAACAACCTGAGACTTTACTCATACTTTTGTAATATATGATTTAGCCAAGCCTAAAGGAAGAATTCTTGTTAGTTTATTTTCCAGCCCTTCACTATAATAGAAACTGTAATAACTCTTCAGCACTAGCTGTCAAAGAGTTTCTTCAAGGAGATTTAGGGACCAGTTCGGGGGTGGGGGTATTCACAGGGTCTGGAACCCAGGGACAATGTTCTCACACCTTGCAGAGCAATCAACACACAAGCTTGTCAGCGGTGTTTTCAAGCAGCTGAGGACTTTTGTTATTGTTCCTGATGTTTGAGCAAATTTTCATAGTTAGGGAATCTTTTCTTCTTCAGATGCATTGTATGAAGTCAGCATCAGTTGAAGTTATATCCTATTGAGCATGAATGAAGTTAATGGAGCATTTAATGCAATCTAAATAATATTACACATTACAATGTGGTAACTAACACAACAAAATTATGTAATGACACAGTTCCAAACAGAGGTTACCTGGGTATTTGTAAGAAACATCAAGCACTATTGACAGCTTGGGCCAGAGTATTTAATGCAATCTAGATAATATTACACATTCCAATGTGGTAACTTATACAACAAAATTACATAATGACACAATTCCAAACAGAGGAAGTCAGGTTAAAGTCTCACCTGCTTGAACTTTTTAGGGCTTAAGGTACAGAGAAAAAGATCTGCTCAACAGTTACAATTAATAGAAGTTGAAAGTTTTAAAGCTAAAAGATACACATTTCAATCATCAAACCTTATGCATCCTAGCAAAAATAGGGTCAGTTACCACCATAACTTCTCCTAAACATTCATGCATACAGGAAATCATTTATTTTTGTCACTAGGTGGTACTGTACTTACAATAATTCTACCATGCACACATGCATTTTTTTCAGTTACCATACTTTCTTGGTTTTAAGGCAAACTTGGTTATAAGACCCACCCCAAACTTAGCAACTTAGTCAAGCCAAGTTCCCTAACTGAAAATTTCATGAAATTACTCAGTTATACGACACACCAAAAGGTTGAGGGTTAACAAAAGGATGTGATAGAACTGAGAACCATTATCCTTACACAATTGGCATGCAAACTCTTTTATTAACATAAATAAAAGTGAAAAAGTCTCACATTTAATGATCTACATAACAACCAAGGCTAAAATTTCACACCTGTAATGAGAAACTTAAAATGCATACTCATTTATTTCAGCCTTCCTGCTTAGGAAACATGCTTCTATTTACAATATTAGATAATAAATATTCAATGATCTGATTTCATTCTATTAAACATCAACTGACTGATTTGAAACTTGGTTGCAAAACTAACTCATACTTTCTCATTGCAAATAGTCTGAGTTAAACTTCAACTTCTTGTTCAGCTGGACCATCCTGTTACATGTGAAAAAATCAAATGTTACTCACATATTCAAACAATTACCTGAATCAAAAGTTATATTTTTTTAATAACCCATTTCTTTTAATTGTGCTCCAGAAAAAGTAAATGGTATTGAAGAGAAAGGAAGAAATTCTGGAAATGTTCTATTTTAAATGAAATTTCATCATGAATGTTAATTGCGACAGCAACAAAAAAGTTGCTTTCCTAGCAACTGAACTTAACTATTGTTGCCAACAAACGTGAGAGTCATATAAAATGGGTACAGTTATTAGAGACATCATGTACCAGTTTTGTATATGTAGAGTATTGCTTGAATATATCAATCCAGTAAGTGCAAGTGCCCAGTAAACATCATTCTGTAGTCTTATATTCTTCCACCTTTGAAGGTGCCTAGTATTCATAAAAATTGAAGTTCAATGCAGCTTTTTTGGCTACAAAGATAACAAAGAACAACATCCATACAAAATACAATATTTCTTAAGACACCTCTACAATGGCAGGTATACACAACTGACATGTATGAGTGAAGCATGTCAAGCATTAAGGTATGGTTGTCAATTTCATCACATTTTTTTCATTACTTGCAAACAGCTTGTTTCTGGTAGCTTTGAAAACTTCTGTATCTCCCCTTTAAAGCAAAGGCATTTCCCATTAAAATTTTTACATCAATAAATAATAAGCTACTAGTAACAGGTTTTTCAATTGTAAATGTTTCATAGCTTCCAATTTTCATCATATATTTTTTTACATTTGAAAGAATAAGTATATTTTAATCATTGCAATATAATTAAATCCTCCATTTTGAGACAATAGTAATAGTCATATGTACAAGAAAGACAGCAAATGAATATAGCATCATACTGTAGTAAAGTGTTCTTGTGTAGAATGAAGTTTCAAACTCACTGAAATTAAGTTGACTTCATGATTCAGATTTTAGTTAAAAAAATGTATAATACCATTTATGAATTTTAAAGAGTAAATGCCAAAAGCTTAAAGATGGAATTTTAAAAAAATGCTTAAATGTGGTATATCGATTCACTGAGATTTTAATCAATAGCTGGCACACAGAGGTATAAAAGAGGCTTTGTAAAAA